GAACATCCGAAGACGAATTTTCCTTCCTCTTTTTGAACTTGAATCCTTAAGAATTCAACTCCAGGAAAAGTCGCCTGCATTTGACATAGTGAGCGAGTCCAAACAGACGCGATTAAGTTTGAAAGAACGCTAATTCATTTTTACCGACGTTTCACTGCGGTCGTCGTCGTCCTTGCTTAAGGTCCCTAATGAAAGTAAAAAAAAACAAGCGCTCTCATATTTTTTCCTAAGTACGCATGCTCAACACTCAAGCTGGGGACACGCGGTTGACAACGGCGACTAAAACAGAATAAATTTCATCAGACAACTTCTGGCCTTTTTTCCCTGCCGGTCCTCTCATTTTTCTAAAAAGTCCCATTGGCTGCATATCTTCTCATAACAATGTTAACAGTAGAGTGATAAAGCATTTCAAGGGGCAAAGACTCCTAGGTTTTTATTTTTCCTTTGAGATCAGTCAGTCTCGCACGCAGAAACAATTGCGTCAGTGCAATTTCTTAGTGCACACACTACTTTATGTCAAAGAAGCTGTGTTACGTTCGGCCACTTTCTCGTGATCTGTAGCTTTTCACGCAATCAGAACGCGTGAAGAACACCTAAGAAAGTCTACGAAGGAAGCTAACTTTATCACTAAAGGGGCCATAGAAAGCGTCCGTATTAACGAGGTATCCGTATTAAGCGCGTCATGACATGAAAGTAAAAAATACCTTTTTATTTACCAAAATAGTAACAGAAGTAGAACAGGACAATTAGCATCGTCAAATTAAAGATCTCTAACCTTTACAAAACCGTCAATAGGCGTGGACTATGTCTATAGAAGCACTCAAAAGCCGCTCTTTCAAACATTAATTAATAGCTGACTTAATGAATGGCCGTCCGGTTTTCAGTTTGATGCCGACATACATTAGCTCAACTGATTGGCTCTGGCTAGCTATACATGAAAGTTCACTCAACACTCACAGTTCTTCAATTCTGTATTACTCTTGTTCTCAGATTTTACAAATTCTTTACAGTTTCAAATCTAAGCAGGCCAATACTAACATATAACGTCCTGCTTTATGGAAATACGGCCATTTTATAGATGCGACTGACTGTCAATCAGATTCAGTTCACAAATTTCGAGGAGGCAGCTGAACCCAGATGATGTGCAATTACAAAGTGAACGTGTTCTGTATCTTTTCAATGCTAGAACTCGACAGGTCTAATTAGCAAAAAAGCAATTTTGCACGTGCAGCACACTTTCTTGGTACATTTGTCGTTGTTTTGCACGACTACAACGAGAAACATCCAGAAACTTCTTAGTTACACGTTTTTTTGAGAAAATGTTGTACGTGTTCTCGTTCACTTTTTTTTTCACTGCCGCTCATTTTCTCCTTGCATTGGTGGCCGCTGGCATTTCTCCTTTGTCAACGCCGCTACAAAGTTTTCATGTTGTTCTTCCAACAAAAAATGTCTCCTTTGTTCTTTTCTTATCTCTGACTTTAGATCTCTGTCGCCCTTTTTCTCGTTGAGTTTCGATGGCCTGCCGGCTACTTTCTCTTTCTCTGTATTTCTCCTGCTCTATATTCCAAATCTGTGGACATGACAATGAATCTAAGCTAAATACTTTAGACAACACGGATACAGAAACAATTTCCGCTTTTCGTTTTCGTCTTTATTGACTCTTTAGTTGTCCCTGTTTTACGAGACGTGGGTGGCTATGCGATTTCCTGCCAAAATAACCTCCAGTTGCATTGCCATCCCTGTTGATTGAGTTATTTTACATTGGTATACCTGTGGTGCGGACGGACAGTCGTTCGGTGTACGATCACGTGATTACCAAATTTTCTGGAATTTTCTTACCCAAGTTGCTCCGCTGCGCTAAAAAAGAACTGAACACTTCGCAGGTAGTTTACAATTGGCAGGGCTCGAAATTGCGACTGATACGGTCGCCAATGCGACTAACATTTTCTCCTTGGCGACTAAAAATTCTGGTTTAGTCGCCAAAGTGGCGACCAGATTTTAGAAGAGTAAAATTAAAACAAACATTTCATCTTATTTTGCTCTGCTTTCATCATGAAAAATGTGACAAATCGCATAAACAAAGCCATTTTACCTCCAAATTTATACCGACTTCATGATATTTTCAAATCTGATGGATCGCGCCATAACATGCTGGGCTTCTGATAGGTAGCGGAAAATAGTCAAATTTCGCGGGATTTTTAGGGGCAAATTCGCAGAAAAATCGGCCGATTTTGCGGCACTTTCGCAGGAATGTTTGGGGCAAACTTCACCGAAAATCAATCGGTAAAAAAGCCCGATTTTGTGGTTATTTTTGAGGGAAAATATTGTCAGATATCGAACGGTTTTGCGCCGATCAGACTAGCGTTTTTAACGTGTTTCTAACAGAGGTCATCATTTGCTCTTTCAACAACAATACGCTCGAGAAACGAACCAATGGCAAAGCCTTTAACATCATGGCTAGTGCTCAGTTTTTCGCAACATAATCTACGCCTGGTAGTTTCGTGATGTTATTTGCACGTTTCAGTGACGAAGTATCAAGATAAATTTGCAAGTTTACGGCAAGTAAATAGCCCCAATAGCTGAGATAAGTTTCAAATATGTTGTGCAGACATGTATTTGATAAGATTTCCACTGAATTTCGCGGTATTTCGCGTGTTTCTGTGAATTTCGCGGCTCCGCTCCTGCTCGAAATATCAGAAGCCCTGTACCTATGAGCTGAGCGCGTCGTTTACATTTTACAAACTGGCGACTAAAAATTTGCGTCTGGCGACTATATTTCTCCGGTTGGTCGCCAAAAGGCGACCTGAAGATTTTTTTAATTTCGAGCCCTAATTGGCACTTAGTTCACCAGATGTCTCTGATCTCTAGTTAGACTAAATAGTCTAAAAGGTTACAAATCAACTGACAAATTGGAAGTATGCTGCGAGCAGATGTTAGAGACTAAAAAATTCGCAGTAACGATCAAGTGATATATACACATTTTGCATATTACAGACCCTATCACTGAATCAATTAATACAGGGTTTGCAAATTTTATTGATGAGTGGAGTCACTGTGACTGCTGCTTCACAAATTTTGGAATCATTTTGGAATATTTGGAGTCAAGTAACGAAAAAAGCCATTTTCAGACTTTCCAGCACGTGGTCCTGCCATGTATACAGTATGGTGAGGCATACACGGAGTAGCTGTGTCGGTCCGCTGACCTGGAAAGCTCAAATCCATGTTGGCGGTCTCTCGAGTAAACTTTGATCGTAATTTACCCTCTTCCTGTTTTGTTGTTACCGAAAACTTCTGGAGTCGAAGTGGCTCCCTGTTTGTTACCGAAAATTTCTGGAGTCGAAGTGACGCATTCCGTAACCCCTGTGGAGTCATCTGAACAATTGT